ACTCTTTCTCAAAACTGCCAAGGCCTTAGAGCAGAAATTATATTCTATCCCCTCTCCATTGTGTAGGAGTTGAAAGTTTTTTCAGTTGTGGAAACCAACTTGCTGTTTCTCAGAGTTCAAAGATGAATGGGCATACAAACTGAGTAAACATTGATGATTCCCACAAATTATGCATATCCTTCCCCCACTCCTCCACCACACCTCTTCTGTTCCCCCAGCTCCCAGCATCTTGCTTCTCAGAACTAAAGACAATGTTTTGTTTTTTGTTTTTCACAGTAATTGTCATCAGGGTGATTCATATTTGGGAAATTATGTTTTGCCAAAGATCTCATGAAAGTCAATAATTCATAAGAATAAAAAGTCAGCCTTGAGTTATATAGCATAAAAAAGGTTTCCAAAGATGCAGTGGAACCTTGCCATTGAGGCTTCAGTTTGGAATGAGACTTTTTCAAACACTCTAGTGGCCACATGAAGCCAGCCATGAATCAGGAAAGCAATAGACATTTCTTATTAAATTTTACAGCAAGTTCAGAAATCACTGAACAAGAAACAATTTTAAAGGAAAACGCTGGAATCTCTTCATGCAAAGTCCTACATTTGACCGTATCTTTAAATCAGAGTTATATATACTGTTAAGTCAATATTTGTTGAATACAGGATAGTACATACTCAGGTCATTCCTGGGAATGTCTGAACCTCACCAAGGCTCATGAGGGTAAGCAGTTGCCAGCAAAGAAGCCCGAGAAGAGAGAGATTCCCCAGAACTCAGATGGGGAAATGTTCTACACACTGTATGGGATCCCTAAGTAGGGAGTCCTTGGGTTTCAGCATACCACCTAGTCTGTCTAAAATATCTGGAGTTGTGTGTTCTGTATGTGTGTGTATGTTAGTGTGTGTGGCCTTTGTTGAACACTATTCACTGCATATCCAATTACCCAAGCCTGGAAGCTGGGACCAGCATTATTTCCCCCTTCTCCATCATTCTGTACATTATTAATAAATCCTGTAATTATATTGGCGAGACTATCTTATTTTGTCCATTTTTTCCATTTCTTCTATAAACACTCTACTTCGTATTGTCTACAATCTACTATATCCACAACAGGGAGATCAAATACACACACACACACACACACACACACACACACACACACACACACACACTCACACTCACGTATTACGTCTGCCTAAAAGCCTTCAGTAGCTCCTAATAGAATCAGGAGGCACTGTGACATCTGACCCCTGACTCGTCTTCCCATCTCATCTGAGCACTAACGTCACTTACTCATGACTCTCCAGCCACACTCTCTGGGTTTTTCTCACCCGAGAGCCTCTGTTCATCTGTCTCTCCTTCCTGGAATCCACCTGCCTCTTCCTTCTCTCCACTTCTTAATGGCTTTCTCTCCTTTCAGTTCTTCAAATCGAACTTAAATATCTACTCAGGTACTTGCCCGCATTCCATATTTACCAACCCAGCATGCTGTTCATCAAATTCATGGCATTTTCTGAGTTTTATCATCACATAGTTCATTATTTTCTTACCTGGTTTTGTCTGCCTTACCCCAATAGACCATGAATTTTGTGAAAACAGAGCTAAGTCTGCTTCTGTCAACATTATTTCTTAATTGCCTAATACAGCACCTGCCTTATACGTATACTACACACTCAGTAACTTTCAATAACTTTCAGTGAATTAACAAGTGGATCTAAGGCTGGGGAGGGGTGGTCATTTTCTTCTGCAGCAGAAATTTAACCCAACTCAGAGCAAGGCTCAGCATCAAATCTTGCTATCTGTTTTGGTAGAAAGATTTGATTTAGAAATTGAGATTTCTGTGCAAACACACCACCCAGGTGGTTGTTTCTTATTGGAGATTATCATCAATCTGGATGCCCCAGACACTGATCAGAGGCATTCTGTTAATTTCAAATTCTCCTTTTCCAGTAAATCTCTAGGAAAGATGCTGCATTTTTTTAACGAGTGGAGCCTTAAAAATATTTCTCCTTCATTGTCCTTTATTTTTTCTTAGTCGATATATGTATACAATAGTAGAGGTGGCTACATTGCCAACTGAGGATTAAACATGGGAATAAATTCTGAGGAAAAAGGGATTTTTAAAAGGCAGCAGTAAATGTTTTATTAGGCAGTGGATAATGGCTTTTAGGTGCTAATTCTCCTTCATGAGCAAACATATCTGCCATTACTGTCAATGAAATTTATATATGCTTATTAAAGAAAGAGTAGGCTCTTGAACATGGGCCATAATGATTTTTCTTATAATTGGGCCATGGTTGCTCCAATGCTTTTTTACTACTTTTTTTTATGTATGCTCTGCATACATATTCTATTCCTTTGAGAAAAGAAAACAGACAATATGTGTTATTTTTATCACTGAACTTCTTTCTCAGTTCTGCTGAACAAAATGTGCTTCCCTATTTCAGAGCTGCCAAGAACTGGACAATTTGGAGTAACATTTAATTTCAAGTATTAGAAATATTTTTTCTGGATATTCTCTTACTGTCAGTTGGTTCATTAATGTCGCTTTTAAGAAGAAAACATGACAGTTTCAGGATCTGGGTGGGTTCACCAAGTTAAGACTCGGATTTTAATATCATGAAAAAGATAAAATAACGCAAGGAGATAGAAAAGCCCAAGTAATTCTTTTCAGCTTTGCATATTCTTCATTCTATTTAGCTTGTTAATTCAATGTTACTGGTGTCTCTAGTGATTTATCTTTGAAAATTATTAAAGGCTAATTTTATTTGCTACCCAAGAGGTAGTTTCACACAGATTAGTATTGAGGTCACTGAACAAAAGAACTGAAGAAGGGGAGAAAAGTGATGTCATATGAGAAACCAGAATTGCTAAGGATTTAACAGTATTTTTGCTTGGGATAGACAAGAAGGAGGTATAGTGGGGAGGAGGGAGGAGAGACAACTGTTTACAGTGCTATTTTTTGTATTAAAAAAAAAAGCACATTTGCAGAGAAGGAGTCAGAACAAACTAATAACTGAAAAGAGAACATGCCAAGGGATGACAGGACTGCCGTTGTCAGGATCAAGGACTAGTAAAGAGGTATGGAAATTAAGGAGCATTAAGTACAGCTCAGGGGAGAGTTTTTTATACCAATGAGTTTGTTAACATCAAAATCAGTTAAGTATGTGGGCAGTTTTTCTTGTGCAACAAAAAAAGTATGCCTTTTATGATTTAATTACAGGCATTTCCTTTAAAATGCCACCTAGTATTTTATTGTTTTTTTCTAAAGAAATGGAAATCTGTCAGACTGGTTGAAGGAGGCCCACAAAGGGGGGTGTTCAATCCTTATTACACCTGGGAAGAAGGTTCAGTGCATCTTCCCAGGGCTGAGAGTGGGATTGGCTCTAATTCATATTTTCATTAATATCAGGGATGATGGGATAGGGTAAGCTCGATAAAATTTCCAATTACGCCAAACTGAGTAGTGAAGCTAACACCTGGAAGAACTTGACTGCAATTTAAATGACCTTTTTGAGTTTCTGAAGACAGTGAATGAGTTTAATTAGACAAGAACAAGATGCAAGGAGTGAATCACTAGCAATGATAAGAGTACTTCACTGCTGTGCTTTAGAAAGCAAGTTCACATCTTTGTTAATTTTGACTTCAACCTTGCAGGTAGGTACAATGATCACTCTGGAGGTAAAGACGGGACTAAGTAGCCTTTTAATGGGGTTGGCAGAGAAATATGGCAGGATGAACAGGGATGGGGTTGAGTTGAAGAGTGAATCACTAAATAAATTGGCAACCAAGCTTCACACTAGGATGTTTAATAGAAGATTATACTTTGTGGTAATGTGGAATAATTTTACTCTTATTCTTAAAATTGGACATGCCTTGAACTGGTATGTTGTGCTCAATTTAGGTATCCAAAACCTAAGTGCAAGGAAAATGGCAGAGGGCCAGAAGAGATCAACAGGAATTCTTCGTGATTGGGAGACTAGGTCTAGGAAAGACGGAATTATTCAGTATAGAAAAGGGAAGGTGAAAAGTACATATTTAACTTGAAACACATTTTCATGGTTCATAATTGGAAGAATAGTCAGCAGCTCTTCATTATTTCTATTGTTATATTGTTACTTTTAGTTTTTCTTGAAGAACATTTTTTTTTTTTAAAGGGCATATGCGTTTTTATTGTGTGTGTGTTTTTTTTTTTTTTTAAAGAAGATGTTGGGGATAGGAATTTATTAATTAATTAATTTATTTATTTATTTTTGCTCTGTTGGGTCTTCCTTTCTGTGCGAGGGCTTTCTCTAGTTGTGGCAAGCGGGGGCCAATCTTCATCGCGGTGCGCGGGCCTCTCACTATCGCGGTCTCTCTTGTTGCGGAGCACAGGCTCCAGACGCGCAGGTTCAGTAGTTGTGGCTCACGGGCCCAGTTGCTCCGCGACATGTGGGATCCTCCCAGACCAGGGCTTGAACCCATGTCCCCTGCATTAGCAGGCAGATTCTCAACCACTGCGCCACCAGGGAAGCCCAAAGAACATTCTTTATAAATACAAACATCACATCACCATGGAGCTGGGATGTATCACTTTCTACTGGGATGATTTAGGGTAGTCATTGCCCCTCATCCTCCTCCATTCCCTCCCTCCCTCCCTCCCTCCCTTCCTCCCTTCCTTCCTTTTCCTTTCTCTCTCTTCTTCCTCTTACCCTTTCTCTCTTCCTTTCTTCATTTTTTCCTTCCTTTATTCTTTCTTCTAGTTTGAAAAAATTCTGCAACTTTAGTTAATGAGGATCATTTTCATTAAGACTAAAATTTGGACAGATATTAAAACTTGACCTAAGAAAGTTTTATTAAGTAATTCAGCCTCACCATGTAAGGTCATTTCTCATTTTTAATATACATAACTGAATATCAAGGAGGTCTTTAGATCCTTGCATTTTAAAATGTGATTTTGCTATGGAAGTCTAAAGTTGAAAGTGCCCTTCAGATGCAGAAAATAATAATACACCATCTTCTCTTTTAGGTCAAATGGCGGGGGATCATACGAGGCTGGAGTTTCATAACATAGAGACGGGCATCATCACGGAACGCCGGTATCTGTCTTCTGTTCCCTCCAACTTCATTGGACACCTGCAGAGCCTGACATTTAATGGAATGGCATACATTGACTTGTGTAAAAATGGCGACATAGATTATTGTGAGCTCAATGCCAGGTTTGGCTTCAGGAACATCATAGCAGACCCTGTCACCTTCAAGACCAAATCGAGCTATGTTGCCTTAGCTACGTTGCAAGCCTACACTTCTATGCATCTTTTCTTCCAGTTCAAGACAACATCCCTAGATGGACTAATTCTGTATAACAGTGGGGATGGAAACGACTTTATTGTGGTTGAATTAGTTAAAGGGTAAGTACAGGTCCATTCAATGACAAACAGAGCTTTATGAAAATGAACCTCAAGTTCCACAATTATACATTAAACAGAAGGTGGTGGGCAGGGAGGGTGGTTTGCAAATAATGCATTTGTTTAAACCACTTTTTAGGTATCTTATAAAGTTAATAGGGATTCAGTACAGTTTTTTATATCTACATTTCCATACATAAGGTACAAATAGTGTCAAGTTCTAATTTATTGTAGGCGTTCCATAAGTCTTACTCTTCATATGTGGATTTCTTTACTACGCACATGGTAATTCCACAAAAGAATTTCTACACTTGTCGGCTAAGTTAAATAGCTAAGTTAAATAGCTGATTCATGCAAGCAGATTACTTCAACTCCACAAAATCCCATTTAACTGAGGCTTAATTCTATGTCAGAGTTTCTTGAAGAATTTAGAAAGATTTTTATGACATTTCCTTGAAACTGTGATGAACATTTGGTATCTTTTCATTGATTTAGGTATTTATTCATTCAGTCGGTGAATATCATTGCACATTTACAATTGGCTAGATAATATGCCACACACTAGTTTACATATATATATATATATATATATATATATATATATATATATTCCTTGCCACTCCAGTGCACACTTCAGATTCCACCACCCCAAGGCACACAGATGCACACAACCCTAGGGGATACAGGTGAACACATAAATTTAGCAGAAAAGCACCAGGAAGTTTCCTAATATGATCTTGGGCAAAGGTTCAGGAGATTATTTAGCAAAATTAGGAAAACCTATGAGTTCGGGAGTGGCTACCTGAGCTGGTCTTGAAGAAATGAGTGCACATTTCCCATAGAGAAATAGGCATTCAAGATGGCAGGAGACAAGTGCAGGAAGCTGAGAATCGCCAGTTCTGTGTGGTTGGCAGAGGATGGAGAGAGTGGTGGAAAATAGGGAATGAGTAGTGACAGATATTTATCTTCCACAGCGATGAAGTGGAATGTGGACCACAATTTAAAAAATGTTTTCACTATTTCCTATATTGAAGACAATGAATAATCCTCCTTGCTGGAACAGAGTAGTGTTTCTTACCCTCTTGTTAGTTGAGCTTCTTTACAACTCACTCTCATGACTTCTAGCAAGGATGCAACCACCTGAAAAAGAGATCTCTGTTTGTAATAAGCAGTTTGACTCCATCAGAAATTCAAAAAGCGATGGCACTTTTCCACCTTCCCTTTTTTCCCAGGTACTTACATTACGTCTTTGATTTGGGAAATGGTGCTAACCTCATCAAAGGGAGCTCAAATAAACCTCTCAATGACAATCAGTGGCACAACGTGATGATATCAAGGGACACCAGCAACCTCCACACTGTAAAGATTGACACGAAAATCACAACGCAAATCACAGCGGGAGCCAGGAACTTGGACCTTAAGAGTAAGTGCACGGAGTCAGAGCAGCAGGCAGGAACCCACATGGTTTGTGCTCATGTGGCACAAACTTTGCTTTGGGGGGGGGGCAGGGTGTGGGTACCTTTTGCAAAGACTGACCAGAATTTCATCTCCAACATGTAATTAATAATACAACACACAAGCCTCTGCTCCCCCTTTAATGTGGCAGAAACATGTATTTTTAATAGCAGCTCAAAAAATGCAACACCTAAGAATGCATGCATGATTAAAATTTAAGGAGTAGAGAAGAATGTATCTTAGTCTTGATATTATAAAGAAAAGTAGGCGTTTGCAAGTTTCTTTAGTCCCAACAGCTTTTAGCTGATTTGGAGTCAAGGTAACCAGATACCTACTGAGTTTCTTCTAGAGCTTATTAGTTTTCTCTTCTTGGTGAGGTTTCCTAGATACTTACAGAGCCTCTCACCAACAGGTGTCTAAGGCTGGCTTATACCCTGTGTCTCCCAATGGTGAATCCCTCCCAACACCCACAAACACCAATGGGAATGTTCTTTCACCAGCTGCTAAGGAAGTCCTAACAGACTTTTTCCTTCCTTATTTTTTTTTTTAGCATCTTTATCGGAGTATAATTGCTTTACATTTCCTTCCTTATGGATACTTGATTTCTTAAGTGAACAAGACAGAATACTTAGAAAATCTGTCAATAATGGAAAATAACAGAAGTTTCTATTTGAATGGGTCTTTGTGATTTGCTAAGAGTATGTCCATATATCCATCTCACTTAACACAACAACAAGCATTGGACAAGATGTTATTAGCGCTTCCTTGTGAATGTAGGAAATCTGAGCTTTGAATGGCTTGCCCAGGGTTAAAACAACTACATCAGCAGAGCGAATCATAACCCCAGTTCTGACACATGGCCCCTCCATTGCTCCTTCTGCGCTGACTGGGTGCATTCCAAAGCCCTGCAGGAATCATCATGGTCATCATTTTTGCTTGGCAAGAGCTGTTCATTTGTACTGATGGGATCTTTCCCTTTGATTTAAAAGATAAATACATTGGGGAGTTAGGGAACTGGAAAGAGAAAACCCAACATAATTCTTTCTAGAGAAAAAAGAAGCTGTGAGTAAGGTGAAAGAAGACAGAAAAGGGTTTCACTTTCTGTAATTGCAGAATATATTTACAATCCCAGTACTATATTTGTCTAACACATAAAATGTGTGGTGATGGCTGTCTCCCTTCTCAGAGTGGGCCTCTTGTTAACTTCAAAGAGAGCCTGTTTGTACCTACAAATCTAATAGCTTAGCTCACAAAGTAAAATGAAATTCAAAGGAAATGCTGTTTTACAGTCTACACCTCTTTCTTCTCTCTGACTGAAGTGAATGGAGGGCATTTTCTGTCCCTATTTCGTGGGTGTCCCTGTTTTGCACAGCGGGCTCAGGTGGTAATTGTCAAGGAAAGGGAGAGATTGTGACGGTCGTGTGCTGGCCATGCCAACCACCAAAGCTAAAGCAAAATGTGGTCCTCTTTGTGTAGGGAGAGACCTCAGTAAGCATAAATGAGCTTCCCTCGAAACCTTGAACACTAGGTGGAACACTAAAATGTCTAGAAAAGACAATTAGGGCACTGTCTCCTGAAAAGTAAATATTTGCCTATTGTCCCTTAAAAAATTGAAGTGAGAGTAATTGGAAGACATGGTACGGGATTCTTTCTGGTGGTGGAGGGGACCTTTACAAACCTAAGAAACGCTCAGAGCTGATTTTTGTTAAAACGTTGATTGTTTCATGATTTTGAATATAAGAAAGGCTTTATCCATGATTAAAAAACTAAAACTATGAATTGAAAATAGCGTTTTATATAATATTAAGATGCTAAGTATTGAATTCTGACTGAGTGCATTTGTGTTTAAAAAAATACACTTTAAATTTGAGGTATATTTCCAGATCTATAAAGAGACGCTATACTAATGACTATCCCCCTCAACCTTGTGAAGTTCCCTCCTGTTTACAGACTTACCAGACCATGCCATAAAGTGAGAGCAAGTTCCTAAAATTAAAACTCGGGACTTCCCTGGTGGTCCAGTGGTTAAGACTTCACCTTCCAATGCAGGGGGTGTGTGTTCGACCCCTGGTTGGGGAGCTAAGATCCCACATGCCTCACGGCCAAAAAAAAAAACAAAAAACATAAAACAGAAGCAACATTGTAACAAATTCAATAAGGACTTTAAAAATGGTCCACATCAAAAACAATCTTTTTTAAACTTAAACATTAAAAGTCAAAGCTGTGAACTCGTCAGTTGGATGTGTGATCCAATGACAGCAATAACCCCAAGAAGCCCCCTTGCCATGTGTGTCCCCAACTCGAGGGAGCCTGAGAAGAGAGCATGGTCCTGGGGTGGACATCTCTCAGCTTCCACAAGCACCGCCTTTTGGTGTGTGGGTCCAGGGGCCTTGGTCAGATAAGGAGTGTTTACTGAGCACTGACGCTGTGCTCAGAGTGGAGAGCACAGGTGCGAAGAGGGCGGCAGGCTTCCTGTAACAAGAAGCTTTCTGTCCCAAGGAGAAGACTGACACTGAGGGAACATTGACAGGACAGAGAACAGGATTCCCTGGATTCCCTATCTTTTCAATCAGGATATTGAAAAGAATGTGGTGTCACCAGGTAGAATATTAGAGGAAGGAATGTTTCAGAGATTCCTGAAGGATGAGTAAGCGCGAAGAGGCATTGTTTCTCCTTCCCACCTGGATGCTGCCCCCTGGAATTAGGGGAGCTTAATGAGACAGGAGACCACAGACAGGAGCTGTTCACTCTGAATTTAACAGCACTGTCTCCTTTGCATGCCAGTCACGTAGGATTCAGCCACTCTCAATGCAGAAACAATGAGAGGAGACCGAATTTGGACAATGGATTTATTTTATGTATCTTTTGGCCCTTATTGAATTAAAATTGTCAGATTTATTCTACACTCTGTGTCAGGTCACTGCCATAATCTTTAGTTCTTCTCAGAGTGAGGTCAATCTATTTAACTACATCAGAGTCCTATGGTGGGGTTCTTGAGGTGCAAATTTCCGCAACCCCCTCAGACGGACTGAGGCAGGGATCATTTGAGAATGACTACAGGGAAGGCCAGGTCGTCTGCATTTTTAAAGGGCACTCACTAATCTAGATGCTGAGTTTCAGAGCCCTGAATGAATGCAATGTCTATGTCGAGGCCAAATTTAACTCACTTTCGAATTTTGGTACAAAATTTGGTTTTGCTTTTATGTTAGAAGTTTACTTTTGTTTTGTTTTGTTTTACTAGTCCTGGGCCAAAGTGACATTGGTTGCTTCAGGACCCTTGCTTGTATTTCTCATGTTACCATACCGGAAAAAGACGCTAGAGGGCAGCATAAGGCCGCAAAACCTGCCGTATGGGAGGCGGGAGCGCGGGTGGGGTGGGGGGAAAGCCTCAACAGGCTCCACTGGCGCTGGGAAGTGGACTCTGTTTTCGCCCAACTAAAATTCCACAGTTAGCCTTTAGGATAACGCATGCCTTTGTTTGTGGCTCTGTTTCATTATATAGACAGGAGTTTACTGTGAAAGTGTGCGAGCTAGGGGCTGCTTATCCCATTCCCCAGCTTGACTCGGAAGAAGGTAGTCAGAAATAGGTAAGAGCCTAATCTCTCTGAGACGAGGAATTCCACGCGGGTGACCTTGTTCAAATTGCCTTTCGTGACATTGCCACGTTCTCAGGGGGTTGTGTGTCTCTTCCCGCTGATACAGTTTTGCTTTCATCTTTATTTCCCAGCTGTTTGCGCTGCATCCCCTCTGGCTTTTATGTACAAGCTGCAGCACGCAGTGGAAAGAGCCGCAGAAATGTGCTCTCTGCAATGATTGCCTAGCGCAGTTGTACTTACTTTCATTGTGGGACTTCTGAGTCCTGGCCCCTTTAGAGAGAGAAAGGGTTGGTGTAACTCTTCCTGCTGTTCCTTCTCTTGTTCCTGTATTTGACAAAAGTGTATGTTTGTATGTGTATGTATATGGGAAGGAGCTCATATGCATTGATTCCCTACTAAACACTAAATAGATTTAAATGAGCTTATTTTATTTAATCCTTGAAACTACCCAGGGACTTGAATTGAGGTCAGTCTTGCTAATTCGTTAATCTAGCTCAAGAGCAAAGATGGGGGGAAGGATTGCTTTTGGCCCCCATCTTCCATGGGTCCCCTTCCTTAAGACATTATTAAGTTTATCCTTCAGCAAATTGAGGAAAATTTACTTTACGAGGGAAAAGTGAGAGATTCCTAGGCGCAGAGGATACAGTGCCCTCAGGTGGCCACTTAGCAAAATTACTTAAAAGTGAATAATTCCTTCATAGGCCACATCTAGGTCAGCCCAGGCAGAGCTTTGACCTTTGTTTTCTCTCTCATACCCCAATTCCTTGGCCCTACGGGTTTTGAGCGAGCTCTCCCTCTGTCCTACCATCTTGTCTCTTCCCTTCTTACCACCATGACTAGTGTGTACTTGTTAACCTTCCTTGTATCCCTCCTCAAATCTTACCTTGAAAGCAAACACCTGCTATTGTTTATCATGCTTCCAAGCCACTGAGAGCTCCCCTAAGCAGAGACAACTGGACTAGGGCTGTCATTTCAAATAGACTCCATCTCTAAGCAGAGATTTGAGGATGAATAGAATTCTTGCTCTTTTCATCTTGATCTCACATCAGTCTCTGTTACTCAGCTACCTACCCTCTCCAGTCCTGAATAGACCACATATCCCACCTTTTTCTACCCTTCAGTGTTTTAGACAGATCATTGCTGCGATAAATCAGTGGTCCAGATTCTATTCCAAAACCCTGACCATGTTTAAATATACCCAAGCTTTGTGTACTCAGCCATGTAACATCTGATCGCCTGCTTGCCTTGCCCAGATAATTTACTCAAATACGAAACTTTCAGAGAAGAGTCTGACTTTGAGCTTAGCCTTAAAGCAGGAGATGGCATTGAACATGTTGTCTATCCTGTTGGTTAGGCTATCTTTGTTAGATTT